AGCTAATGGACAAAGTTATCCGGTCGTTTCCAGTAAACTAACTAGCTTCAGTCGCCGGAATGACAGCCTGAAGGAACGTTTTAGGAAACGGAAGTGCGATAAATTAGAGCGCGCAGTCTTATTCCAGTCCCCCTTCTCAACCCATCTTACTGGGCTGGTTGTCAAGGCGGACTCCGCCCCCTCCCCCTCCCCCCTGCGCCCTTCCACCCGGGGGTCAGGTTACACAGAGCCAGACAGGACACTGGTAGCGTTCAGTCAGGCGAGAAATCAGGAAGGAGTGAACGTTCCTGCGGGAAGCTAACTGATTCATGTCAAACGGAAGGCGTTCGGGTGCGTGTACTATTGAGGAGCTGCTCTAAACTTATCTTGTTCTGCACGCTCCAACGTTTATGGCATGTACAGACTTGTCATAAGTTAATTTGAGAATTGCCGCTTTTAAGTCTTCCGCTAGGTGCTGTCATCAGCATAGGGTCCTTTGGAAAACCAGCAGAAGACGGGTTTTCACATATATATTTTTCACTGACAATGGCTCTTACGGCGATTTTCGGATGATCCGACCTACGTTTGCTAAATTTTAATGCAAAGTGGATTTGAATGTCGATTTATATTGAATTCAAGATGAAGGCTCGAACGTCTGTGAGGGTGTGCCGGTCAAAAGTGTCGCAAACTTATGCCTCTGGCTCCATAGGTAATACCTTTTACACTTACAGTTCGGTCGACCCATCCAATAGTTCTCACCTTTGCTGGCAAGATACTCTTCAGTATTCGCGCAATAATAAATAGGCAGTGGAATTTGCCTCCTGGCGAGGCGAGTGCCACATATTTATAGTAGAGAGGGATGTTAATGAAGGTTCTGTGTGCCAGGAAATTGGAACCCATAAGGTAGGTTTGGTTCAAAACGTTTCTACGTGAAGCATCTCACCATCGCACAGGGAATTAAACTTCTGCATTTTCAGTAAACTAACCCCCAGCAATAAAACCAACCTCCGTTGACCTCAATAGTGTAATTCTGAATTGGTGGATTCCTTACTAACCGTTGACCTGTCCGATGCAGAAACAGTTTCAAGAAGTCCCACTTCAAAGTGGCTTAATCGGCAGTTTACCACAACATTCACTTGCAGACATTCCACGAATATTCACAAGCAACATCAGAAGTACTCACTCCCTCTCAAGCTAATGCTACGGAAACAAACTTTACACAAATGAACGCCAAATGCCTCTCCGTTTTTGCACCTCGCTGGACACATTGAGCAGTATAGGCCTTTTTAAGCTCGATCATAAAAGTGGAAGAAAATTAGATGGCGTTATTCGACTGTGGAAACAGAGCCCGAATCCTTTCGCTATTTGATAAGAAGCGGTAAAAAGTACTACGAGGGAACGGTCGAATTACACGTGATTTACCTCAATCCCGAGCAACATATTAGTTCTCTACGCGGTGTCCGATTGTAATCAGTACCTAGAACCAGTTTTCGGCGGACGGCCTAGTGGCCTCAGCAAGTAGATGAAACTCCCTTATGGCTGTGGCTACCAAGGTAACGAGCTAAGTCCTGCATGTATATATATATATA